ACCCCCCCGCCCGCCTCTTCTCTCACCAGATAACGCGCCTGCCAGTCGTTGGTGGCGTCGATCTCCTGGAACTCCTGCTCGACGACGGCGGCCATGGCGGTGGCGGCCGGAGCGCGCGCCCGTCCGGAGGCAGGCAAACCCCCGACCCCTCGCCCGCCGCCCACCGCACGGGAGCGGCGAGCGCGCACATACGCTCGCAACGGGTCCCGCTGCCGGCGGTGCCAGGCGCATGCGCGGGCCTGGCCCCGCCCACCGAGGGCGCCCGAGACCACGCCCTCGGGGAGGAGGGAAGCACCTGGGGTGACGTCACGGGGCGGCGGGGGCGAGGAAGAGGCGGTGGGCGGGGGGAGAACCTCCCTCAGGTAGCCTGGGGGCGGCTCCGCGGCGCCTCAGCCGGTCGGAAGACGGCGCAGAGCCGTTGCCAGCCGATTGCCGTCCCAGCGTCACTGACGGGACACGGCGCCGGCAGGGCTGCCCGAGTGAAGGAGCGCTTCCAGCCGGCAGCCCGGTGCCGGGTGAGTCCCCGGCCCGCTTGAGCGCGGTGAGAGGCCGGGGGACCGGTGCGCGGCCCGCGCCCAGCCGTCAGCTGCTTGTTTGAGAAAGCAGAAGTAGCCGAACGGGAAGGTGTGGGACAAACAGCGGACGGCAGGGCTTGCCGTCTCGAAAGCAGGAACGCAGCAGGGCGGAGCGCCGCAGCCCTCCGCGCTCGCTGGGGAGAGAGAGAGCCCCTCGGGAAACGGCTCCGCGGACCCCCAGCGAAGCCGAAGGTCGGGCGGGGTCGAGCGAGGGCCGGGTTGCTCCAGCTGCGCGGAAATGCACGGCTCTGCACAGCTCGGCGCGGGGGAGAGGCGCCTGTACCCCTTCGGGCGGGCGGGCGGGCTAGCCGCCCTTCGCGCCTCAGCGCAGGTCGCCGCTCGACGTACGGCGGCTTAAACGTGCGCGGCGTTAATTAGCGCCCCGAAGGGGAAGAGATCAAAGTGCCGGGCTCTCTCCCCGGAGCCCAGTGACAGCCCTGCCGTTGGCCCAGCCACCTCCTCTCCCTAGGGTCCCTCTCCCGGAGGTAACTCTGGGCCCTCCCTCCCCCCGGCAGCGGGCTCTCCTCCACCCCCAACGCGGCCGCTCACGAACTGGGAGGTTTGGCGGGGAACGTTTTTTCTCTGCCCTCTCCCAGCCCCGAGGGGCCTCCGCCCGCTCCCCTCGGCTCCCCGGCTCTGCCGCCCCTCGGCGCTTAGCCCCGCCCCGCGCTGCCGCTCCCGGCCGCGGCGCCCGTGGTCGGTGGCGCGGTGGCCGGGCCCCAGCGGGCCCCCTCAGCCCCGGTCCCCCTCAGAGTGCCCCGTAAACCGGGTTGTACACGCGTGCAAGGGCTGAGCGGGGCACCTACGGCCCCCGTGATGACCAACCGCGCGGTCCCGCGCGTGGCCGTACCGCCGCCGCGCTCTCTTGCCCGATGTCAGCGAAGCCCCGAGCGGGAGCTGACGCTGTGGTGCAGGGCTGGGCCTGGGGTGGTTTTTAAGAACAACTTAAGACGTGTGACGTGAGGAGGAAAGGTGGGCAGAGGGAGGCCTTCGCACCGTTGGCACGCTGACGCAATTCTGTCGGTAAGCTACCCGTGAGGTGGCGTGCCGGCCGGCCGCCATTAAAGCGGTGCAGCGCGAAGGCCACGGTAGCAGGGCAGCCAGGGACGATGCCTGGCGTGAGGGTTGCCCGCGTCACACCTAAAGGCCAAAAGTTGCACGCTGGAGAAATGCGGCCTCAGTGCTGGGTGAGCCGCATTCACGCTCCCCTCCGCTGTGGTGTTTTATAGCTAGGAAACAGCCACGAGGGCCACTCAGCATGATGCAAGAAACCTGTGTGTGGTTACACAGGTAAGGCAGATATTTTTGGAACAGACTTCTGGTTTTGACATCCAAATACCTGTCGTCTGCTGTTGCATTTCCTTCCTGTCAGCGGGCTGCAGTGCGGTACAGCACTCCAAATCCACTGGCTGACGTGCTCCCTCAAGTCCTATAACGAAAGCTGGTATCTTGTACACCAGAGGACTGGGTGATGCACCTCTCAAGCATGGCTGATGGGACAGTATGCATTAGTAAGTTCATAGCATGTTTTTCCACGTAACTCAAGGAAATGTTGCAGAAGCTTTTCTTGAACTGTGGCTTCAAAGTTTGAAATCGATATAGGGAGTAGCTTTTCTGGATTTTTTGGCCTGCAAGACTGAGGGACAGGCCATGTCTGTAGTTCTGCAGGTGTTCTCCAGTTCATCAGTCTGCTACATGTGATCAGTTAATGAAATAAGTAAATAAGACAACATTTGTGAATTGTGATTTGGAAGTGCAGAGAAGAATCTTAAGTGCCCATCCTCAAGGTAATGATTCTTTTTAATTTAAAATATCTTTCTCTGAATTCATGTTTCAATGAACAAGAAGTGTTCTTAACCTCAGAAAACTGATCTTGCACGGTCTGGTTGTAGGAAAGTAAATAGATACATAGAAACTGTCTGCCAAATGACAAATTTTAACAAAGAAATTAAAATAAACAACTTCCTCACTGATTTTAGTCTTCAGTAGGCTTTTCTCTGGATATGAACTTCCTGACTGATCTGTATTTGTAGCATTTGTGATTAAAGCCTTTTTTACCCCTCACTGGAGCTACCTGTAGGTCACAGATGCCCATGAAGCTATCTGACATGGATCGCAGCCGAAGAGGGCCCAGTCACCATCCCGTTGGTCCA